TCAGACTGCCGTTCGTCACATATTTAGCTAGTTGAAATAATTCCTAACTAACTTAATAGTAATTTCTATTTCTCTAGTAATATATTAGTGATCCGATAATAATACTACAAAGAAAAGGAGTTTAACATTACGCTTAACAAATAAAATTATAATTAGTAATAAATTTTATACTTCTAATTACTAAAAAATATTTATATAAACCGGAAAAGAATAGTATTCAATTTTAACACCTCTGCTATAAAATATCATTTTCATTACCAGTTTTTTAAAAAGAATTATTGCTGAATATAAGAAGAGAGAAAATTATAAAGACTATTCGTATTTACAATCCTTATTGTGACGGCTGGCACTATCTGAGCTATCACATGCCTGCTATCAAGGCTCCCATTCACATGGGTGCTGTTTAATTGGGTCATCTCATTCACGAGTTTGCCTATCACTGGTTGTCGCCTATGATCTGGATATAAAACCCAGCTCTGGCATCGAGTAACCGAAGCTGGCAGTTCGGTCGCTCAAGTGGTCTTATATAGTTTGTCCCAGAAGAGGCACCCGAGTGCATTCTGTGACATTAAGGAGATAATTGCGGGATAGGAACTAATATCACGGGCAAAGGGTCGATGGTAGATGTGAATATGCGTAATTGCACGAAGGAGAAAGGAAGAGAGTGCAGACAAGTGCCCAGAAGGCTGGCCTTATGAAGGCAGTCCAGCTGTGGGCCCAATTGTGGGTCCATGGCTGGGAGCCGTCATAGCCAGCCTACTGACAGCGACAGCAGTCTCAGAAGCTGCTATGCGCTGGCATAAGGCACGTGACTAATCACGTGCAACGATATAGGCTACCCCTGTGACAACTGATATATTTTTAATTTACCGTTATGAATTTGCTTTCAAGTAATACTACTAATTAAAATATATTCGCTAAATACTACTATAATATAAGTAATAGATTTCCTAGAGTTGCAGCTCGTGAGCGTAGAAATAACAAACGTAAAAATAGCAAATATGGAAATAATGAGTAAAAGATCGAAAATAAAAATAATAAGTATCAAATTATTCAACATAGTAATAAAAATAAATAAAAAAAGTAGCAATAATAAGTATTATTGGAATAGCGGAATTATTATTGGTTTATAGCGTTTTACTATTTAAAAGTGATTCTACTTACACTATTTATTATTGTATCTATTATGCTAAAAGTACCCCTGAAGCATTTCCGTATAACTATAGTACTAGAATATATAAAACTGTTATTATTTGCTGCAATGCCCTAACTGGCCTATAATAATAGCACCAGTATAGAAATGCTACAGTGAACTATTGTTACGAACTTATGAGGATACACGGACCAACCACAGCGCCGGTAGTACAACCGGCCTAAACGGGGACAGATATCTCGCAGAGGGCGAGCAGGTATAAAGGGACTACGGGAGAACTCAGATTGTCAGATAGCTCGACAGTAGTCAATAGATCATTATCACCGAGACCAGTATTGCAGACATACTTGTTGTGAACTCTTTAGCTTCACCGAACAGCACTGATAGTCGTTACCTTCAACTATCCCACTTAGGCAGATCAGATTGCCGTTCGTCACAACTATGCACTTGTAGCAGAGCGGAACGGAAGCGGTAGGAATTACGACAGCAGTGCTGAAGGAAGCAGCGTAGTAGCAAAGACAATAGGAGAATGTTGTAAAAGAGGTCTTAAAGAGAACTCTCTCAAGAGAGAAGAGCATAGTAAACTCTGCACTGTAAGAAACAACTATTATAGTAAACTCTGCACTATAAGAGTAAACTATATTGTATTGCTTTAATTGTGCTTGCTTGCTTAAGGAGTGACTAACTAAAGGAGAGAAGCGGTCTTTATATACACGAACGTTAAGTATCTAGAACCTTCCAGAGTGTAGGAGCTTTTGTAAGTTGATAGGAGTGCTTGTAAGAGCACTATATCATGAAAGAAATGAACTGAATCTATGAGCTTCTGGTACATTCTATGATGACAAATTAGTTTAGAAGCAATGCTGAACAAGTTAAAGAATCCCAAAATACAGTAGCAAAATCTCTGTATTCTAGTACGTTCTGTAGAGGCTGAGTGGACTGATTCCGTAGAAGGAATAGTTCAATCAGCCTTCTATACTACAAGGTAGTACAAGGCAGTTACAAAGCACAGTACTAGCCACACGTTAACAGTTATTAAAATAATAAGAAAAAAAGTATAACTTACTAATAATAATAGTGAAAATAAGAATTTTATATTGTTACTACGATTTCTTATCAGCGTTATTATCATATAAAATTAAATTTAAATGTAGTAAAGAGTAATATTCAATATTAAATTCTTTATCATTATACTTATTATGACAATATAGATCCCGCAACTCTCACACATTATGAGATTAAATAAGAAAGGCGGTAGAGACTGGCAGAATCTGGGCTCCTTCTATATAAGGATGTACTCTAAAGTCCAGCTCTCAATCTCTTCTCTTTTCTTCTTTAGCTTTAGTTATTTATTCATTTGTATCCAACTACGCGATACGGAACTACGTGAGCTAGTGCATCATAATACTTATAAACTTTATATTAAAACGCAACATTCTACTAATTATTCAAATAATATATATAAAATTCTAAAAATTTAACTTTAGATTTGTATTATTAGCAATAATGCCCGCGTTGTTGCTATAATCCCAGCCAATATATCGATGTTAGCAAGCACTAATGCGCAACTTTAATACGCATGCCCTGCAGGATATGCGCGACAAGCGCAATCGCACAGGGGACGTAGAAGTCACAAGTAACATTAGTATCTGTCCGTACAGTGGCTAGAGTCAAGGCTGTGCATATCCGAAACAGGTTAGTTTTTGGGACCTGGATAACGACCCCCCTCCACGACCTTGAGCTCCAACTCTGCACTTTCTCTTCACGATCGCTTCACAATAATGTACTGGATATTTGGATCTTTCAGCTTCTCGGCGAATATGCTGACATTGCGCTTGAAGTTCCTCAATGAAGATCTCCTTTTCATATCATCAACGGCTAGCATGTCATCTCACCGTCAACACCGTTGTACCGAGGGTGCCGCATAAACGTGAATAACTTCACTTCTTGTGATTTCTTGGAGGGGGTCATTGTCCATGGCTGCTCATGGCGCTCGATAGCTTTGCTTGGACAAAATGCTACGTGCAGAGTAATAGTTTTTCAGCTTGTCTATAGCATCAACGGCCTCCGACCAATTTCGACTTGAGGATCACGATGTTCCTCGCGACGTTGAACGACAAACGAGCTGCTTGTCTCTATATATTGCCTCAAGACACACATGGTTTTCTCTCAACGGTCGACCATTTAGAGCTTGAGCCAGGGCCACCACGCTTCTTTTAATGAGAACTGACCCCTTATCCCGACGGAGGGGAACTGAAGTAAGTGACGTCAACTTGTCATTGCGACGGATCATAGCCACATCATGCCCAAACCGCCAGCAAAATCCAACAGAGTCTTGCCGGTTGCTGTACGCTGAGAGTATAACTATATCACGCCTGCGTGGTGGTGACGCGTGTTCTTGCTGCTTGTCCAGCGCTGGACTCCTGAATACGAGAGTAGCTCGCCGAAGAGTTCCGTATCACGCCGGAAGATGCTTCCCTCTCCTCCTAGTTGTGTTGTTTCAAGGAGGGTTTTCTTCCTCCTACAAGCTGTCCGCAGAGGTTCTCGCCTTGACCATATTCATTTTATCAAGAAACCAAAGAGGTTCTCATCACGACATCCTCTAGACGGAACTCATTGGCACTCGCACCGACATCATGAGTGGCCAGCCAGACATTCCCAAGGAGCAATGGGCGCAGGTCATTGAGAAGGATGGTGGTATGTCTCTCTCCTCTCGTCATCTTGAAGCTTACCGAGTTCACATGTCGTACTAACACCACAGCCAAACCAGTATTGACCTTCAAAAAAATTCCCGTGCCCACTCCAGGCCATGATGAAGTCCTCGTCAACATCAAATACTCGGGAGTCTGTCACACCGACCTTCACGCGCTCAACAACGACTGGCCCTTGCCTCGCAAGACCCCGCTGGTCGGTGGCCATGAAGGTGCCGGCGTGGTAGTCAAGAAAGGCGAGCTGGTGTCCAATGTCGACATCGGCGACAAGGTCGGCGTCAAGTGGCTGATGTCCACCTGCTTCCACTGCACCTTTTGCCAGCAAGCCCAAGAATCGCTCTGCCCCGAGGCGAAGCTGGCCGGGTACACCAACGACGGGACCTTTCAGCAGTACTGCGTTGCGAACGCGGCGCATTTGGCCCGTTTCCCGCAGAACATCGATCTGGCGGCCGTGGCGCCCATTATGTGTGCGGGCCTGACGGTGTACAAGGGCCTCAAGGAGAGTGAGACGCGACCCGGCCAGTACGTGGCGATTGTCGGAGCCGGAGGCGGGCTAGGGACCATCGGGTTGCAGTACGCGCACGCCATGGGGCTGAACGTGATTGCCATTGATGGCGGCAAGGAGAAGGGGGAGGCGTGCAAGAAGCTTGGGGCAGGGGCTTATATCGATTATAAGGAGTCCAAGGACTTGGTGGCTGATGTGAAGAAGGCCACGCCCGATGGGCTGGGACCACATGGCGTGCTCTTGCTGGCGCCCCAGGAACAGCCGTTCCAGCAGGCGACGGGCTACGTGCGGTCGCACGGCACCGTGGTTTGTATCGGCTTGCCGGCGGGGGCCAAGGTGAGCATGCCGGTTTTTGATACGGTGATCAGGATGATCAAGGTTAAGGGGTCATATGTGGGCAACAGGGAGGACACGGCCGAGGCGGTGGATTTCTTCCTGAGGGGTATGATCCATGCGCCGTATAAGGTTGTGGGATTGAGTGAGATTCAGAGCATCTTTGATGCGATGAGGGAGAACAGGGTTATTGGAAGATATGTGATGGATATGAGCAAGTGATGGGACACTAAGAGTAAGGGCCTGTGTCTCATGAACTCCTCCCAAATCCTTACGAGAAAGAAGTTTCGATGTTCTTTGGAGGATCAGCCAACCCACCTCACTTTGTCAAGCTTATCAGATAGTCCGCTCGGTGGATGGTGAACCACGGGTCACTTTCTTTCCCTTGCTTAAAGCTCCAGTTCATGAAGTCGTTTCTAGTAAAAATCGTTGCTTTAAGGGGAACATCACAAACATCATAGGGCGCCCAGGGAAATCTCTGCCGTTCTTGTCGTCGGATGTCATCTTCTCTCTCATAGTGACGATTTTGACCAGAAACGACTTCATAACTAGAGCTTCAAGCAGGGAAAGTACCCTGTGATACAAACCAACCAGCCTACCGACGCAGCTTCTTACCGTGGAAGTGAGTGGACACATTCTCCACCTCAGGATAGGTGTGGTTGAATATTATCCAAAACTCGAAAAGTGTTTCAAGTGTGCATCCTCGTTTACATTTGCTCCATTGATATTGCACATGGATGCTATACCCTCAGGAGCGTGAGGGCAGCCTTGTTTTGAACACAAGAAATCTATATTCTCTTTCCTGTATATACAGTAGGCTCCCCATCTTTTGATTTTTCATAAATCCATGGCACCGACGTATGCTATCTTTTCCTTCCTTTATTTTATCCATTCCTATTTAAAAACCAGGCAAGCCAAAAAAAAAGCCTAGATTTAGATCCTGTTGAACTCCTTTTTCTAGACCGCCCATGATCCGTTTCCATTACAGTGTGTTGAAAATACGTGTTAAACGTAAGCCGTAAAACCCATGGAGGCACCTCTCTCCCCATGAGTGGGTTGCAATTACATCATCGGGCTGCTCGTGTGTGTGTGCGTACTAGCCTCCGGGTATATTGTTGAAAAATCAAAATATGAAACCTGACCACATTCCCTTCTCTTTCCAAGTGCAAGTCAAGACTCGACCCAGCGCTTACTGCTCCTGGATGGAGGACTGGTTGCCACCAGTGGTATCCTCAACGGGAGGGCAGGTGCAGAAGAGGTTGAGGTCACCGTAAGCTGTTACAGATGGTTGTTAGTGACGGTTCAGAAGAAACGATAACATATGACTGCGCGGATCACTTACTGTCGTTAACACGGGCAACGCTAGGCCAGAACTTCTTCTCCCTCAACCACGGCAGCGGGTAAGCAGCCTTCTCACGGCTGTAGGGTCTATCCCACTTGTTGCCAGCCTCGCCATCACCGCCAATGATGTCAGAGATAGGGTGAGGAGACATCTTCAAGACGTTGCCCTCACGGGGCTGCTTGCCCTCCTCAACCTCACGGATCTCCTCACGGATGGCGATCAAGGCGTCAACGAACCGGTCGAGCTCCTCCTTGGACTCGGATTCGGTAGGCTCGATCATGAGCGTGTTGGCGACGGGCCAGCTCATGGTGGGAGCGTGGAAGCCGTAATCCTGCAGACGCTTAGCGATGTCGATGGCCTGGATGCCGGAGCTCTTCTCGAACGGACGGGCGTCGATGATGAACTCGTGGGCGCAACGGCCGTGCTCGTTAGTGTACAAGATGGGGTAGTGGTCCTTCAGACGGCTGAGGAGGTAGTTGGCGTTGAGCAGAGTGACCTGGGTAGCCTTCTTGAGACCAGCACCGCCTATTTCCATGAGGTTAGCAAACATAACTTCACACATGACTGACACAGCTCAAAAGGACTGGAGGACTTACCCATGAGAGCGTTATAGGACCAGCTGATGGGCAAAATGCTGGCACTGCCGTAGCTGGCACTGCTAACGGGCAAGTTGAGCTCGGCACTCGACATGGTCTTGGTGGTGGGCAAGAAGCTGGCAAGGTGCCCCTTGACGCAAATGGGACCAACACCAGGACCACCGCCGCCGTGGGGAATGCAGAACGTCTTGTGCAAGTTCAAGTGGCAGACGTCGGCGCCAATCTCTCCGGGGGAGCAGAGACCGACCTGGGCGTTCATGTTCGCGCCATCCATGTAGACCTGTCCACCGTATTCGTGCACGATCTGGCAGACCTTCTTGATCGCAGGCTCGAAGACACCAAAGGTGCTGGGATACGTGATCATCATGGCAGCAAGCTCGTTCTTGTACTGCTTGCACTTGGCCTCCAAGTCGGCAAGATCAAGGTTGCCCGTCTTGGTGTCGCACTTGATGGGAACAACGCGCATACCAGCCATGGATGCCGACGCAGGGTTGGTACCGTGAGCGGAGACAGGGATGAGGCAGATGTCACGTTGGCTTTGTGCCCGGCTCTCGAGGTACTTGCGAATGACGCGCAAGCCAGCAAATTCGCCCTGGGCGCCCGAGTTGGGTTGGAGCGAGCAGGCATCCATACCGGTAATGTCAACCAGCTGGTTTTCAAGTACCTTTGTGAGCCTTGCGTAACCCTGGGCCTGGTCTGGCGGAACAAATGGATGGAGGTTGGAGAAGCCGGGAATCGTAATAAGGGCCATCTCAGCGCTAGCGTTGAGCTTCATGGTGCAGGAGCCCAAGGGAATCATGGAATGCACCAGCGACAAGTCCTTGGACTGGAGGTGATGGATGTACCGAAGGAGTTCCGTCTCAGAGTGATGTGTGTTGAAAACAGGGTGGGTTAGGTAAGACGAAGTTCGACGCAGGGGTTCCGGAAGGTGGCCCAGCGGTCCGGACTGCTTGATCTGCTCGTTATGGTGCTTCAAGAAGTGCTCAAAGATCACTTGCGGGTTAGCTTCAAGGGCATCATCTCTGCCTTGGATCTTGAGGCTTCTCGCGGTAGCTTGGAATGCGGCAATGAGCTCAATGAGATCGTTTTCGGTGGTGGTCTCGTCAACACTGATTCCAGCTGAATCGGTGGAAATGAAACGAATGTTGATACCTCTCTCTCTGGCAGCATAAACCAGGACCTTGCCGACATGGTCTTGGTTGATGACGACCGTATCGAACGGCACCGCCGAGCAAGAGGCATTTGGCGAGTAGAGGTTCAGGCCGCAGAACTTGGCCGCAGACTCAAGAATCCTGGCACCCAGGTTGCACCTTTCGGCGATTGCCCGAAGGCCCTCGGGACCGTGGTAGACGGCGTAGAATGAGCTGATGTTGGCCAAAAGAGCCTGAGCAGTGCAAACGTTGCTGGTGGCCTTCTCTCTGCGGATGTGTTGTTCTCTGGTCTGCAGGGACAGCCTCAATGCGCGACCACCGAGACGATCCTTGGAAACACCAATCAAACGACCGGGCATCTTCCTCTTGTGCTTCTCCTGCACGGCGAAGAAGGCCGCATGCGGGCCACCAAAGCCCAGAGGCACACCGAACCGCTGAGAGTTGCCAAAGGCGATATCGGCACCCCACTCGCCTGGAGGAGTCAACATGGTGAGAGCCAGAAGATCGGTCGCAACACTAAGAAGAGCGCCTTGCTTGTGAACAAGTCGGCGAGCTCTCGGTGGTCCAAAACCTGGCCAGTTGTATCTGGATATTGAACCATGACACCTACCAAGTCGTCGCCCAGTTCCTCGAGCTTGGCGGCGGATTGGGGATCGTGGAAATCCAGAATGAGGATGTTGACACCGAAACCCTCGGCGCGGCTCCTGAGGACGGCTCTCGTCTGAGGGTGAAGCCTGTTGGAGAGGACGTAGGTCTTGGTGGGGCTCTTTACTCTGGATGCAGGGAGAGCATTGAGCGACACGGTCATGGCCTCGGCGGCAGCGGTTCCCTCGTCCAGCAAGCTCGCATTCGCAATTGGAAGGCCGGTCAGGTCGGTGACCATGGTCTGGAAGTTGAGAAGCGATTCCAGTCTGCCTTGGCTGATCTCGGGCTGGTAGGGGGTGTAACTGGTATACCAAGCGGGGCTCTCGAGCACGTTTCTCTTGATGACCTCGGGGGTGTGAGTGCCATAGTAGCCGGCGCCGATGTGAGCCTTGATGCCGTTCCTGTTGCTTTTGGCCATCGACTCGGCAATGTTGATGATTTCCCATTCTTGATGGCCCTGACGAGTAGGGTACTTTTTGGTCGACAAGAACCTGACGCGGCTGTGCGGGAAGAGCTCGCGCTTCGACAAGATATCGGCCGGAATGACCTCCTCGACGAACTGGTCCAACGACTCGACAGGCGGATCCAAAACCCCAAGCATTTCCTGGACGCTGGCGTTGTCAGGGCCGATATGGCGGCTCGCAAAGTCCTCGCGGACGGGGAACAGCTCGGGATACTGGACCCAATCATTTTTGCGCACAACCTGCTTCAGCTTTCCTCCTCCTTTCGACGCCCATCGCAGGCCGGAGGCAGCCACCAGCGGTTGTGGGCACGAGATAGCAGCGGAAGCCCTCAATGGCAGGCGGGCGGGCATGGCAGCTCGGAAGGCCAAGGTCGAGGGCCCGACGATGTGGCCCAAGCGGCCGACACGTCCCGGAGCAGTCATAATGGTGGTGAGCTAACGGGACTGGCCGACGAATACGGGAATTGGATCGGCGGGGGAGGGATGAGGCAGGCCCGGACTGCCCGGCGGAATTGGCGGGTGGATAGGGTGGGAGGAAGGTAGCTACCGCCGTATACGGGACAGGAGGGGAAGATGGGACGAAGTAGGTAAAGGTATGACAATGAGGGAGGAAAGAAGAGACGAGACGAAAGGGAAAAGGAGGAGGATGAGAAGGAGAATGGAGGGAAGCAGTGACGGAGGAGTCAGGGACGGGAGGCGGGGCGAATATCTGTGACGGACCGCCCCCGGGTATCGATACGGTATCTCGATATCTTTCCTACGAGGAGGTACCCAACAACAACACAACGACAAGGGACGGAACTGATACACACACAACACACTCGCTCTCTCGACTCTCGGACCGGAGCCAGTCACAACCCAAAACAACAAACACAACTGGAACAGTCACAACACCATCCACTGGAAGGGATCATGCCCCAATCTGAAGAGAAAAGGCCGGGCGCATCCCCGACTCGTAGGGGCAGTTCCTATGACTACTAGCAACACTAGTATGACGAGCTGTGAGTCGAGAATGGAGCCCCAATGGCTGGCAACAAGCAAGCAGTGAACAAAGCCGCAAAACGAAGCCGATCGTAGCGATTGTAGAGAGAAAAAATATGGACCAGTCAGGCCCGACACCGGTGGTGGTGACTAACGCAATCGAGGAACTCTCGGCCGATGAAGTTTGGGTGACACATGGGAATGCGGTTGGAGACAGGGAATCCATCTTGAAGTACCTTGTACTTTTGTAGGCGCATTGTCGAAACTCGAGACCAACATCAACGACACACGCTGCGATGGCTGGCACATGATCAAGAAGAAAGAGACGATACGGTGAGTCCGGGTCGACTTAGCTGCATCACACACTGTCCTTTATCCTTCCTGTCCCCTCTGTGTTCTTAAAAGTACTTTGGCTACCTAGTGGCCGGCCAAATTCCCGTCACTAGTCAGTAGCCAAAAAGATCCCCAGGTCTTGTCGTCCTTGTGCCCGCGAACAGTATGGGGTACGGGGTAAGAGGTACAGGGTACATGCCGGCTCATGATTGACGTTTTGCGTCGGTATCGGAGCGCGGCAACAGCAGCGAACAATGTCGAGACGGTCGGGTATTCTCGGGCCGGCCATTGTCAGGGGTTACATGCTGCGAGCCAAGAGCTTTGACCACCGCCAGATGTGCCTGCCATTTCCGATAAGCGCGCTGGGCGATAAGAAATGCGATAAGACAAGCGAGCGAGCGAAGTGGGAAGGTGAGGGCGGATGAGGGGCGATTGGAAAAGAACCCCTGCGGCTATACTGGACGGGACTGCTGGAGCGAGCGCACTGCACTGCAAGGCGCGGAAAGCCATTCTGGGGCATGGCGTCACTGCACGAGCCCCGGCCGGCACCCCAAACAGCTTGGAGATCCAAAATTTCAAGACGACCATCCATCACATCGGCCCCATCGTATCGTCCAGCAGCAGCCCATATCGTGACCAGCCTACCCAAATAACGTCAACGCGACTTTTATAACACAAAATGTTCGGTGGATGTGAGTGCCCTCTTGTTCAACCCAGTGAAACTTCAGCAGCCTTTCTAAAGCAGGGACAACAAAACAAAACGAACAACACCAACAACAACAACAACAACAACAACATCCGTTGCGTCCGTTGCCCTGTGCATACATACATAACATACTGACATATATTTACTACCACAGTCCAGCCCCCTGCCCTCTCCCGCGAGGAGCTCCAGGCCGCCGAGGCCGAGGCCACCTTCACCATCCAGCGCGCCGTCTTCACTGCCGTTGCTCTCTACCTCTGTTCGTCTACCTACTCGTCTACACCAGGAAACTCGTCAAACTCGTCGATGTCACCGCTGCATGGTCAAAGTGGATTTATATACACATCAAGCACGTCGAAGACAACCAGCCGGAGCCTTTGGCACCTTCAACACCAGCAGATGACATATACGAGTTTGACGAGCTTCTCCGGTACCTCCCTGCCCTTCTGTCTGGTCTGAAAACTAACAAGCCGAAAACATGAATAGCTCCCTTCGTCATTGACGCCGTCAGCAAGGTTCTCTAAATAAATGTACGACTAGACACAGAATTCACACGAGTTGCAAAACGAGGAAAATGAGAAACCACTCCACATCGCCTTCGAAGAAACAAGGACGTTACATGGGATCACCAGCCTCCTGCGCTGCTTTGAGCTCCAAACTGTCCCCCATGCCGGAGAAGGCGGAATAGATATGATACCCACATAGGGCGAGACTTCCTCACGAGGTTGTACGATATGTCAGACACTTTAGGCCGATGTAAGAAGTATGTTTATCTGTTGGACACACATTGGTCGAGATTGGATAGGTGTCTATCTCCAGGGACCTTTTGCGGACTGTTGGTGAGGCAGTATACCGTCTAGGCTGGGAAACCCGAGATTCAGGATGCAGGGTTAGGGAGTTCCGGCGACCATGTTCATGCTTCCCGACAACCACCAAGATTAAGTAACAGACTTCGTAAACCGGAGTGTTCTGCATGACCTGAACTATGGTCTGCTTAAGTCTATACGGTATGCGCGTAATCTCACCCATCTACTTGTGATCTCAGACCATTCACCGCAAGTGTATACCAAAAGAATGGGAATATTGGGGTTGTTGTTGTCTATTTCACAGGCCTACACAGTGCTCAAATAGACATCCAAGTTGGATACAGGACCCTCGATGCTGTGACCAAGAAAAAGCCCCTCTAGTATGGTGTTTTTCCCATTTCCAACCGCCAATTCCCACGCAAACCACTTGAACGCCAATACATGCTTTGTACAATCGATGTCGTTCCGCTCCTGTCCAGCTTTTTCACATTAACCATCCTTGAGCCACGGGCTTGGTTTCTAGCCAAGCTGTCGGGTGACCCTACCAGACTTGCTGATCGATTCCTTGCTTTGAGCCACTTTTACTCAATCACGGGCTCTCTCCTTTACATAGGCGCCGGAGAAGGCTGATGTTCCTTCTCCCAGTCATCATAATCCTTCCTGGCTTCATCGACCTGCTTTTTGAGGTGCTGCAGCTGCTTCTCGTAATCCTCCAGGATCTGCGTGTCCAAGTTAGCGTCAGTTTAACAATATCGGGGCAAGCCGGCACAGAGGCACATACCTTCTTCGCCTTCGCCTCAACCTCCTCGCCAAGTCCATCGCTCGCCGCAAAGCCCGGCTTGTTCACCTCATCCTTCAGATTATCCGCATATCCCCTCAAGATGATCAGCCTACTCCAGAGCTCCTCCATGCGCGCGCTCAGCGCAGGGTCCTGGATGTTCTTGTCGATCTTGGCCAGCTTCTGCTTGAGCTCGTCCTCGTCGCTGCTCAAAGCATAACCCCTGTTGCGCAGCACCTGCACCCTGCTGGCCAGCGCCAAGCAGCGCTTGCTCAGCTCCGCGTGCCTCCTCCTTGCCTTGAGCGCGCGCACCGAGTGTTCGAGGTCGTGGCGCGACAGAATCTCGTCTAGGCTGGCGTTGATGGCGTGCAGCTTGTTGTTGAACTCGGTGATCACGCGCCGTTGGAGAAGCAGGCGCGCGACGATGGCGGGGAAACCGGCGCACAGGACGGGGATGTAGTTTGGCGCTGGCTTCTTCGCGAGAGCCTCTTCCCACTCCTTGGGGTCGTCGTTCGGGCCGGGCTGGTAGAGGGGAGCGGCGTGCTCATCGACCTTGTTGTAGAGGTACGTCTTGAAGGCGCAGTTGGGGCTGGTCGGGTCCCATTTCTGAGTGATGACTTGGATCTGCTCCGGAATCGGCTTCTGGTCTGCACGTAATCGGAGGTTAGCAAACATTGCATTGTTGCGGTCCATCTTGTGCTCGTGGTTTGGGAAAAATGACGTGAGTGGACGACACGGCAGTGGTAGCTAATCGACGAATTGTCTGGAAGGCAAGCTGGGCGCAACGTACAAGTCGTCTGGCTTCCGGGCTGCCATAGAGAGCTACCCAACTGCTGATTCTGAGGCGCCTGGGACTGGCCGAGGATCGAGGAGGTCGGTTGTTGTTGTTGCTGTTGCTGCTGCTGTTGCTGCTGTTTGAATCTCGCACGTCAGCAATGGGTTCCATTCATCTTGCGATTGCTCCAAACACATTCCGACGGAAGATGGCAGAGGGATGGCTTACCGCTTGCCCGAACAACGAAGTGCCTTGCTGGGGAGCACCGAAAAGGGATTGGCCTTGCGGCTGGGTTGTACCGAATAAGCTCATGTTGTTGGCAGTGTGTGGTTGACGGAAGTGATGTCGTAGAGCGCGCAAAGATGGAGACGGCGCGTGCGGATGGAAGCAGGTGAAAGCCCGTGAAAGAAAACAAATGCGACGGTGGGGATTCGCGGCAGAGGTTGGATAAATTGGTCCACTAAACGCGGTCGAAGTCGAAGCTTATAGGCAGGCGATCAAGCTCTACTTTGGCTGGGATAGTCGGAGAGGTTGTTATATCGGATACTGAGTCGGGAAACAAGGTTGTCGCAATTCGCAAAGCCGTCGTTGCTGGGTAATTCTTGGTGTAGAAATTTACGGGGTTGTACGTTGACAGACGACGGGCGCCCACTTCTGGTTCACTGCCGTGCAGGCGTCGAGGAGGTCAAAGCTCCTCCGGTCGCTTTTAGCGCGTCACTGCAGGTCTGTTGCGGCTCACCGAGGTCGCTGGAAGGTGAGGCCGGCGGGCAGTGAACGCCAAGAACTGGTCCTTTGCCAGCCTCACCAGCCAATCAAGAGCAACCAGCTGCGGCCCACTCACAGCCAGGCCACTCGAGGGTAGCCGGCAAGAGGTACGACACCATCACCAAGCTCTCGAAGCCTCGAATTATTGCTTTGCGATCAACGACAGGCTCGCCTGAACCGACAAGATGGCTTCTCGGATTCCCCAGTATGTGACCCCCCAGCTTGCGCCCAGCTGCAGGAGAGCAATTGGCATGTTTCGCGATTGTCCAGTGGGCGACGGCGACGGCCACTGCGAACCCATCATGACTTCGCATTTACAAGTAGCTAACCACCATCGCATATCACAGGTTCAACCAGCAGGTCCTTTACGACACTACGCCCTTGCCGGACTCGATCCCCAAGGTCAAGGAGCTCGGTGCCAGTTCTGCCCCGCTTATGTCGGCCGCCTTCTTCATCGGAGCCGGTGCCGCGAATACAACGATGATTTCATGCAGTGCAAGAACGAGAACCCTGGAAAGGGCGAGTTTGAGTGTTTGAAGGAGGGCCGAAGGGTTACCCGATGTGCCCGGAGCGTGTAAGTCGTCGCGATGGAAGGTTTGGTGGTGGGATATATAAAACAGAGGACGAGAGCCGGGGACAGAGTCATGTCATTGTCGTGGATAAGGAGTATGGGGAACATTGTGGAGACACTGGCTAACATGGATACGGGGTCGAACCTCTGACGCAGTATCGCCGACATCAACAAGTCATGCCTGGAAGAGTTCCGCAAGCACTGGACATGCCTTGAGGACAACAACCAGCAGCTCTGGCAATGCCGTCCTGCCGAATGGAAGTTGAACAAGTGTGTGTTCGAGAACTTGGTAAGTTAACGCCCGACATCCACTCATCAATCACCAGCACGATAAGGCAAGGTATCAGTGCATGACTCGAACCATATATATCGGGCTCTACCTATTATTTGCCTACCTGACAACATATCATCATCTATCTCACTCACTCACCACATGTTCATCCCATATCCGTTGTGCGATAACTTACCAAGTCTCTTCCCACAATAAAGGGTCTCAAGAAGGAAATCCCCGATCAGCCTCCCAACGTCACACCCGTGCATCTCAGGAAGCAGATGATCTATGCCCATTGGCCCATCCCCCGTTCCGCCGAGGTCTTCGTCCCCCCAAGTGACAACAACAAGGCACCATCCGCCGCTTCGTCATCGTCGTAAGCGCGAGAGAAGAATGCGGGCAGAAGTGAGGGCGAAGAATGAAAAGGGAAACCTGACAGAACAGGACTAGCAGGAACAACAGGACTGCAAGGAGAATTTTGCCAAGGGTGAAGATAATGCCCAGAGCGGACAGTGTGGGTTGTGAGAAACGGATTGGTATGGCAACGATCATAACCTCTACATACCATCCTGTGACCTTTCAGGTGAAGAATAGATAATGCAAAGCACGCGTTTGAGGATAGCAAGTGGGCGTTGTCTGTGTAGGCTCGCATATTGTTCTGTCTTCGCATTGGCAATGCGCATACAATGGGGGGCAAAAGGGTAGGGGGTGTCTACCTACAAACTGGACAACAGTACACTCACTGTACATACGTTTATCCTCCTTCGTCAAAAAAGAGCATGGAGACACCTCTCGGGGAACGTATGTTGTGTCATCGGTGGTTTCGGGGATTCAGTCGGGGTTCAAAGAAGTGTCCCGCCTCGACAGGATGGACAACTGACAGCTTCGTAGTACACTTGACCTCCCACACTACGTTTTGACAGACCTTCGATTTCACAAGACAACCAAAGCCCAAGGAGAGTCGTTCTACGAGTGCTACGGACGGTGCAACGATTGCACACGACACGATACGGTAAGCCCCTGCTTACATGTCCAATTCATTGTCTTCTCTCGGTCAGCGCGACGGTCCCGTCTCACCCTCATTGTGCCTGTACCTGCGCCTGTACCATCGTCACCCGGGCTTGCCCGACTTTGTAGCTGCTGCCTCTTCTGACAGCGCTTGGTGGACCTAACCCTCGAACTTCTAGGTAGATGGTAGCCACGGTCCACGACAGAGAGAGTCTTTAGTAAGGTTGTATTCGGTGTGCCATCGTAAGGCTACACCTCTCTCTCTGCAGGATTTTCTCCGGGTCTCACCTAGGTCTGAGTCTGACTGGCAACAGGACAATATTATGACATCAACCATCCAACCATCATGACCCCTACCTACTACATTTCGGGAATAACGTCGTGGGAAGGTTTATTGCATCATAGGTAGGTCTTGTGGTGAGCCGCTCGCCCAGAGAGAGAAAGACCGTATGCGAATGATAGCATGATGGTAAGGGGTCGGAGATACTGGATACATGATATTGCTGCAGTGTGACAGTAAGGCGACTAGTAGGTCAGAGAGAGACATTGACATCGTGAAGTTACGTATTCTCTGAGAGACAGATGAGTATTTGTCGTCAAGGGATTATGCGAGACGGGATTGACAGATACCTACCCGGGGTATCTTACCGTAGAGGTAGGTAATACTGAAAGCTGGCATTGGCTACGGGGAGCTGACTGCTTAGCTACCTACCTCTACTGGTAACTGCCACGCACGACTCAGTCATTCTGATAGACGAGCTCAAATAGAGGAGAGTATTCGATAGGGTACTTCTCCAAAACAGTACCAAGAGCTAGCTACATGATGCAATGACATGAGTATCTAAGCTCTGAATGCTCTTGTGTATTTCAACATGGTTAAAGTATCTTTTCGTTGGAACTATATCTCAGCTACAAGCACATCAATACTCTCTTTCTCACGAGCTTTCATCCTCCCAGGTTTCTCTCAGACTGTCAGCAGGAAACTCTTTCCGACAGAATTGAAAGTATCCATAGTACATGAAAATCAACACTACTCCACGCAGACAAGCTGCTTTGTTCATTCTGTTTTAACAGAAATTCTATGAAGCAAAGATATAAAAAATAAAAAATAAGAATAGTGCATAACGATGAAAGCAAACCAGGATATAGTATAGCAGCCTACTAAAAGCGCAAGGAGTCTATGGTTTGGTGTGCGAAAACGCAACCATCCGCGTCTGAACGAGCATCTGAAAAACAATGTCTCAACACACGGCTGTACCCGGAGATAAGGCGTTGTATACCTATGATCTCTCAGGACCTCAAAACCTCAGCCTCTCGGCGTTTGGCTTTGGACTACCATAGTCTGCCCCTGGGCGCTGAACTTGTGATGCGCCTCAGTCCTCATTAACATCGCCAGTCCCAAGTGATATCTCGTGACCAAGTGAACGGGTGGATGTGGAAGGTGTACGTGGCTCGGTGGGTAGTTTTAGACGACATCATGATGCGAGAACTGGAACGTGAGAATTTGGGGTGGGGATCTACTGACCGAGTGAATGAAAAAAGGGTTTGTAGAGATAGGTAGTAGAGGACTGTTGTTTTCTGGTTGAAGAAAGTGTGAACTATCACCATCTACTTCTACTTTTCGTCTTGGCTGTTCACGGTAGACTAGAGGGCGGTAGAGTCGGGTATCAACACAGCTGACCGGCCAGAAAGCATCTCTAGAGGTAGGCACTGTCCAAAAGTGTCGCGTATCTCTGGCATGAAGCTTCCATGATTTTGCTCCCGCCCGTCTTCTTCCATCATGCATTCATTACCTCTATCTCTTTGACTGGCTGTCACGGGCCGCAACCTTAGTAGCTCCCTCCTCCACTCCACGGTATATATATCACTTCCCGCGCCGTTCCTTCCGTGGCAGGCTGGTGAGATGGCGCGGCGGTCAAGGTGGTCGGGTAACTATCCTCAGAGAACTTGCCCCCCGACTTCAGTGGACGCTGTGCGTTCGAAATCAGAAGCTAGCTGTAAGTCTACCCACCCTCGACTATCCCGATTCAGCCTCACACGTATTTCTGTTATGTAGACAGAAAAGTGCCTGTCAGGTCTCGCTCTGATAAAATGTTGCAACCAGAACAAGGAAAACCTTCGCCTTGTGTGTTTCGAACAGAATCCGGAGCTGAAGGTATGAATGTCAGTGTCGCTGCGGTCTCGGGGTATGTCGGGTAGGACACTGACACTCACACTCTGTGACACCATTAGGACCCATAGCAATGTCAGCTTTCTGTCCCAAACAAAGGCTGTTGAGGACTGTCTACTCATGACTAGGTATGTAGCGGCTGGTATCTTTTAGTTTCAGTCTTTCCGTCATCGGTGGCTAGATTTGCGAACAGTCATTCACTGTTTTGTCTGTAGATCCAACAGGTGAGCGATGTTTGATCTTCATGAAGGGTCTCGGTGTAGCCAACTTGGCTTCCCTGTCTGTCACTTGTCAGTGTCAGTTAGGTTACCAATCTTTGTACATCCTGTGAAAAAGGAAAAAATCCCGCGGTAGAATACAAGGGACCCCTCCCCCCCTTTGCCCCTTCATTTTCCCTACTTACTTACCGCTTTCCTTCGCTGCCCAAGCGCCAAAGTAGCGGAACAGAAACTCAGAACGGGCAATAATCAGCGAATTGGATATCATATGGAGCCCAAAGGAGATTGTGTATCTGACTGTTCTCGCCTGCTGTCTGCGGCTGTTCGGCCACATCCTGTCTGCTTGTGACCTGTAGTGGAGAGGTAGGTATTCGGAGAGTTTATTCCTCCAACATGGAAGTTTAGACGGATGTGCCATTTCCTGACTGTCAGCCGTCGCAGACGGACAGATAGAAAGTGAAACTTCGGCAATGAAAGGCGGATACATGAGGCATTTCTGCTGTGTATGTGATGGCAATACCGGTAGGGCGAATCGTAGGTCTTCCGACTTGTTGTTTTTGACAAAATGTTTATGCAAAAGCGTCTTGTTGCATGTTTACCGCCAGAAAAGAGCCTTGGTAGGTGGGGTAAGAGCAGCCTTGAGGCAGGTAGCCGTCGAGGTGGTTCATATGAGGGCGCCGGGAGAGTGTAGATATGCAGGTCCTGCCGAACTATATTGGACTGCCAATCCCCTGGTAGTAGTACGCTCAACAACAGCATCAGCACGTGGAAATTACATCCAAGGAAACTTGATGCGGTTTTCCTGTGCCAGCAGACATCAGCACTTCTGAGCAAAATGTTGACATTTTGTCAGTCAAGAAACAGAAATCGTAAGCGGCGGCCTCGGCATTGTCATAGTGGCTTTCTTGTATGAGCTCACAAAGATTCAGGTGATGCTCATATTTGAAAATTTCACCCGTGGTAAAGGAGTCTAAGAGACACCGTCTCGAGACTGTGTTTCGGGAGAAGACAGACTGGTGCTTGGCATGTTAACACATGTGTTCTTTGGTGGGAAGCAACTCTTTAGGCAGTGTCATCGGAATAATTCCAAGGCACTGCGGTCCTATTGTCAATAATGGTAACCAAACAAGGACAACGATGGCATCGAGTAGTAACCGTTCCTGCAGAGTGCCGTTGGAAAGTTTTCCTCCGTTGACTGTGGACTCCAACGCAACACCTGCTCGAAACGGGAGGACGAGAGTGGATGTTGTGAGACATGGCCTCCCAATGGAATGTGCTTGCTCATTCCGGCAACTGGTATTCTCGTAGAGTCCGAGCAACAGGAGGCATAGTGCGGGACTACAACTCAACCCAGCAAGGCGAACAGCATTTGCGGCTCCTTGATCTTAGTTTGTTTTCGTAGACCGTGAGCTCCAATCAAACAACCCATGATCTACTTTTTTCAGATCTGGTCTCCAAAACTCATCCGAGATCATTGCGGGGTGTCCGTGATTCTGCGAGCATCCGTCCAGCCCGTCTCTTATTCAATGATGAAGGACCATGTGGTGGTGTCAAGGCTGTGGAGTACCACGGAAAGTTTTGAATACGAGTTGTGTTTTCGAGTTTCGCACTTGAAGCCCTCATCTCCGTTCTTGCATGAGAGTTGGAGTCTTTTCTTTGTCTTTTTTTTTTTTTTTTTTTTTCGCCTCGAAGGACTTGGAGAACTTATATAAGTTGTGCATGGGTATCCAAGCACTTGTCAAGGGCCTGTGCATGACTCTTGTGTTCTGGAACTTCCAAAACTCTCTAAGGGAAGATCAAACTCCGCGATGCGCACAATGTACAAGACAGGATGAAGTTGGCATGGGCAGAAGGACCCATTGCCCTGGAAATCACCTTTCGTTTTGTCTAGAAGCCAAGGAACGTAACCCGGTCGAGTGGGCGTCAGCTCATCGGGTCTCCAGCCAATTGGCGGAGCCGGTTGAAGGGCGGCAGAGATCTGAAACAGGAAAAACAGAAGCGCATCTGGAGCCGAGTTTTCTTCTCTCCAACTCGGGGACAATGGATAGGGGTTCAAAATGCGAACACGACCTCCAGTTACGGGGAACGGGGGAGAGGTCCACAGAACAGACCCATACATATCTGACTCCCGATCGTCCATATCGAACGAGTGTCAGGATAATGGATCATGCGGGTTTGCGATGTAAAAAGAACGGATTGTAGATGATGTTGATCTCGGAGATTTTTGAACGTATCGACCATCGATTGAAGGGGTTCGTGAAGGTGGAAGACAGGCAGTGACGATAATTGAAGGAAGGTACCTACCAAGGAAGAAGCGGGTTGGCTGAACATAGAGACGGCAAGAACCAGGTGCACGGTCACCCATCGCAGCCGCCTTAACCCAAGACTGTACGGGCAAGTACATCCAGGTGGAATGCGGGGAAATGTTCCCTCGATACTAACGTGCTGACGAGTGCAGATTGACGATCATCACCACATCAGCACATAAAGTGGAAGATGGTTCATGGGCTAGAGTTCAAATACCAGGAATGAAGTTGGCACAGGTTCCATAAATGGCTGTGATGGCCCCCATGAATATCGTATATGTGTGAATGCTTATTTTGAGGACAGAAGCATCCGAGCATCTTAGAAAGCTGACTGCATACTTCAAAGCGACGCACTGCACCATGTGGATGCACGGCGCATATCCTGGGAGGCGAAGAAAAAGGTTCAATCAAACTTTGATGTCGTGAAATGGAAAGCGCGAAAGAGTTAATGGTTCAATGAAAGGAAGTAAAGAACCCTTAGCCCCACTTTCCTTTAAGGCGTCATTCCCCCGGGTGTTTCCGCCTCTTGATTGTTTGATTGAATCTTGGTACGCACGTACACTGCTTTTGATGCCTGGTATTTTCCGCTGCGGATCAATCGCAATCTTCATACCTCTACCACTCACCAAGACCGGCGCAGATGCCATAGAGGTCGTCTTGGGATATTGGAAGGTGGGTATTACGAATATCTGGGCACCTTATGAAAACAAGCCCATCACCGCAGCAACAAGCGGAAAGATACCGATGAGAAAAGTCGCCCATTCGAGGAGAAGGGAAAAGAGTTCAATTTGGGTGGGGATAGATCGAAATTAGCGCCGTTTCAGCGTCAGACCCCTGTCGGTCGTCATCCCTGCCCACTTCCGACACGCCGCAGAGTTGCCCCACTTCTTCCTGCAGGTACCATCGGGGATCAGGAAACAACCTCAACTGCCTGGCCAGGGGCGGCTCGTGGAGCAGCAAAAGGCAGGAACCACCTCGGGCCAGCAAGGGCCAACCCCGCGCCGCTGTTACGTCTTGTTATCATACAATGCGCTGAAGATCGAGTCGAGAACGAGAACGAATCCCATCCGTGGGCCGCGTCGGAGGGAGTCTGGAGTGTCTGGGTCAGGTCGTCTCATGAAAAAGCGCACAAGCGAACGGGACGGGCCAAAGACGGAGCGTCATCCGCCTTGCCCAGACACATGGGACGAACTGTGAGCGTTTAGCACCTTCGGG